CAATTTATGGTAGCGTATGAATATATAGATTTCTCATTGTCTCCATTTTCGCCTTTATCTCAATTTTCGTCTTTATCTTCACTTTTGCCTTTTTTTGTCTTCATCGTTATCACTTGTTTCTTCATCTTCATATTTATCTTTATTTCAAAGTTTAATTTCAAATACGAAGTAAAACAAAATGCGAAACAGCTTAAATTGAACAGGTTGCAAAAACAACCATACACTAATATGGAAATTTTTAAACGACGATTTTCAACCAATTTCGAAACTATAAAAACTCTCCTCATCTACAGAAAATTACCTTTCCAACGGTGTTTTTGGTTTTGAAATCGGTAACTTTACCTTGGTCTTCATCTTTGTTTTTATCTTTCACATCTTTGCTTATATCCTTTTCTATTTCTATTCACGTAGATGAGATGAGGTGCGATGACGTGATAAGATGTGACGTGATTTTATGTGATGTGATAGGATGTATGTCATGTGTTGTCATATCCTCCGATGTCATGTCATATGATGTCATACCATATGATGTCATATCATGTGATGCCACGTCATGTAATGCCATGTCATATCATACCATGATATATCATGTGATGTCAAGTCATGTGATGTCATGCCATATAATGCGATGTCATATCATATGATATCATGTCACGTGATATCGTATAATGTGATATCACATTATGTGATGTAATTTCATGTAATGTCTCTTCATATCATGTGATATAATGTGATGTGGTGTCATTTAATGTGATCACATTCCATGTTCTGATTATTATATGGATAACCCTGTTGATAACTGTGACGATAAAAATACCGATAACTGTTGGGTCACCTAACGACACACCCTGCAAGTTGGCGTAGGTCAAGAACATCTAAATACTTATTTACTTCATATTCAATTATGTACTCGTTTAACTGTCGCATTTTATATTTGTAATATAAGAGCATGCACTCAATTGTACAAACAGACATATATGTATAAACTAAAACCTAACTTTGATGCTTCCACATAACTAATTTGTATATACACACGCATGTATGCTTACATATGTACATATGCTAATATAACAGCGAGATTTTGTCCTTTTGCTGTATCACTCTTTCGTATGTGCATACATACTACCTAATATAACTTGAATTATTACACTGAATTGCTTTTTTGAGAACATTAAATAAATCAGTCTACTGTTGACCACCAAGACGCCGTGTTTACCCTCGCAATATTTTCAGTTGGTTGTAGTTGATATCGGTTTAATTGCACAGCCCAATTTTCGAAGTTAGATTCGTTTCGCTAACGTTTAGTTTGGATCGCGGGTTGGAAAAAACCTTCCTCACCCTACATTTTGGCGCCCAACGTGGGGCAGTGCTTTAAATTCAGATTATTGCTCGCGTTGAAATTAATCTTGTTAAAATTAATTTAATGTAATAAAGTTTTAACGCGTCTATACTAAAAATAACCTTTCGTGTTTCGCTCTTGGTGGTCATCATTTGGCTCGCGCACCATCAACTTCATCATCATCGCTGGAGGACCTCACCGTTGGCTACCACCGTTGGACATCATAGCAGTCCCATTTGTTCGCAAAATTGTACAAGGTCGGAGAACGGTCATTGGATCAAGTGCAAGTAACAGTACAACTTTGCCGTTGGAGCTAAAACAGTTGTACATCGCTGCCTTGCACTTTTCGGTTTGCATTGCGCCCGCTACTCTGCTAATTCGCTGCCGGCGATACCGCCGCTCGGTCATACGCTGAGCGTTCGCACTTCATTTGCACACTTGCTCCGCTGCCACCGTCAACACTTGTCGTTGCTGCTTTCGTCGCTAAGGGAAGACTGCTCTGCTCATACTTGCTTCGCTACCGTCGCTGCTGCTCGCTAATTAACTGCCTCTACAAACTTCTAACACGCTAACGCGCACACTTGCAAATACGCCGACGCGCGCTTTCTCTCATTTGATCACGCATTGTATTGCTGTCGCTGCCATCATTAGTCGTTGCTGCTATTTCGTTGGCGTGTGCTAGCCCTTCGTTGTCGCACACCTTCGCTTCGCCACCGCTCATTACGCTAGCGCTCACTCGCACTTCGCTGTCGCCACTACATTTTTTATATCTGTCCGCACAACGCTCACTTAGTTTTTGCTGCCTAACTTTCGTCGCTACCCAACGAACATTTGAAAGGGGTTTTCTGCCATTTATCATTTCTCAATTTTTCGTCGCAACAAAGGTAATCTAAACGCAAGTATTTATCGAGTTTCCTTAAAAATCGTCTGCGTTGTTTAACTAGCACAAGTTGTTTATTGCTTATCGTTGTATAGTAAGTCCAGTCAACCTATTTTAATCAAACGCATATACAATTCGCATGGCATTCACCATTCATTTAACTTTCGCAACATTAAAACCAATTTTTCTACAATGTCTTTAGAAGAGCTCAAGCAACAACGGGCTAATATAAAAAAGAATATTTCTCGCATTAAAAACATAGTTGAGGCCAGTCTACGACCTGGTGGTAAGGCACTTTCAGTAGCCGAGTACAAATACCGACTCGGTATTCTTGAATCATATTTCAAGAATGTATTGTCCACACAAACGGACATCGAGAGGCTGGACTCTGAGGATGGCGGTCGTGCAGACTTGGAAGAGCTGTATATTACAACGAAACTGACTATTCAGTCGCAGCTTTCCGAGGATCACAACGCCACACTGTCAGACACAACTTGTGTCATGCAGGCAAGCTCGAAGCTACCCAAGCTTAAACACCCATCATTCAGCGGCAAGTACTCTGAATATCAAAATTTTATTACGTCCTTCAAACAAATTATTGACCGAGAGTTTAGCCTGTCTAATATAGAGAAATTTAACCATTTGCGCAACTGTCTCCATGGTCCGGCATTAGAAACCATCGACGCGTTTCAAGTCTCCAACGAAAATTATTCCAAGGCTTTGGAGAGACTTAAGGCTCGGTATGATAACCCAACTCTTATATTTTTAGAAAATATTTCTTCGCTATTTGAGCTAGCGTCTATTCCTAAGCCTAATGGTGGTCAGTTGAGAAGCCTGATTGACAAGGCGTCTGCAATTTACGGCTCGTTATTGTCATTGGGAACCGACAGCCAAATTTCACAAGCCATGCCAATTTACTTAATTTTGCAGAAGGCATATGAGGAGACCAACCGTAAGTGGAAGGAGTCTTTGGACTTTAAACGCTACCGAGCTTGGAAGATTGCACCAAGGTTTTAGAGAGCCATTGCCAATACCTCGACTCAATTGACAGTGCCCACGCCGTTGGACCCATACACCAAACCCCCACCAAAACACCAAAGGCAAAAAATTCACACAAGGGTTATTCCTTTTCTTGCTCGAATTCGTCTTGTTCGGTATGTTCCAGCAACAGCCACAAATTACAAAATTGCGAACGTTTCAAGGCTCTTAGTGTGTCGCAACGCTTTGACCATGCGAAGAAGATGGGCCTCTGCATCAACTGCTTGTCAAAGGGACATCAATTATCGAACTGCGCATCAACACATAAGTGCAGAGTTTGCTCTCGTCAACACCATAGTTTGTTGCATCGTGGGACCACGCCAGATTCGTCGAACTCTACTTCGACATCCGCCGTTCACACACACATGAACAACTCATTGTCGGACCATATTATTCTCGCTATGGTTTTGGTTCGCGACGCTTCCGGAAATTATCGTCTTGGCCGAGCTTTGTTGGATTCCTGCTCACAGGTGAATTTCATTACCGACGAGCTTTCGCAGAAGTTGATGCTTCCACGCTGCAAACACAATATTGAGATACAAAGTATTGGTAAGTCTTCCACTAATATTAAATATAAGACTTCCACCAACATAAAGTCGCAAGCAACTGGGTTCGAGCTACCGCTCACATTTTGCATCACGTCGCATATTGCTTATCAGCCTGAACCGGAAATAGACACATCCTCTTGGGACATTCCATCCAACATTGTGTTGGCTGACGACCAATTTAATAAATCAAGGAAAATTGACTTGCTTTTGGGAACAGAAAGTTTTTTCAGTCTACTCTCTGTAGGTCAAATAAAACTCGGAAATAATTTACCTATTTTACAGAAAACCCTGCTGGGCTGGGTCGTTTCTGGACGCTATCGTGCGAGCTCTAATGCTCTAAACACCAAATGCTTGCTTGCCTGTAAGGACTCTATAGATTCAAACAAAGTCGGACGTGTGCACTCGTGAGCAATATAGCTGCGAAAAACTATATAATGACACCGTTACTCGTAGCGCTAATGGCCGGATTGTAATCAAAATTCCATTCAAGGACGATCCGGCCTGCTTAGGTGAATCATACACTACAGCCTTGCGAAGATTTAATGCGCTAGAACGTCGGTTACAACGGTCATCCATCCTCAGGACACAGTACGTCGCATTCATGGATGAGTATGAGAATCTAGGCCATATGCAAGCAGTGCCCAACCCGAAATTGAACGGACCTCACTACTTTATTCCCCACCACTGCGTTTTGAAGCCGAATAGCACAACCACGAAGCTAAGAGTTGTCTTCGACGCATCTTGTCGAACAACTACGCAGAAATCGATAAACGACATCCAAATAGTAGGACCTACTATCCAAAGCGAGCTTGTAATTCTGTTGCTTCGTTTTCGCTTACATCGCTTCGCTCTTACAGCAGACATCGTGAAAATGTATAGGCAGGTGCTAGTCAGTGAGGAACATCGCAAATTCCAGTATATTTTGTGGAGGAGTTCGCCTCATCAAGATATTAAAACATTTCAGCTCAACACAGTCACGTACGGAATGGCAGCCGCACCATACCTCGCAGTACGCAATCTACATTACCTAGCCGATCAATATGTGTCGCAATTCGTCGTTGGGTCAACTGTCGTCAAGTCATCGTTCTACGTCGACGATTTGCTGTGTGGTGCTGACTCGCTTGCAGAGCTATCACGGATTAAACATGAGGTAACAGAATTACTAAAATTAGGTGGACTAGAGCTGGCAAAATGGCACTCTAACCACCAGCGTTTCAGAGGCGAACACACTGACAAGGATTTGAATCTCGACAACTCTGTCACCAGTGCTCTTGGTCTTAAATGGGATCAGATTCATGACAATTTTCTATTTTATTTCCTACCAAAGCAGCCACTAAACGGCCGTGTTACAAAAAGGACAATACTATACATCGCATCATCGCTCTTCGACCCACTTGGCCTCCTAGCGCCAGTGACCGTCACCGCTAAAATTTTGCTTCAGGAGCTGTGGTTGCTGAAACTCGAATGGGACGAATCGGTTCCCCAAAACCATCCAGTCGGCTTGGCAAACCTTTGTCAACAACCTTTCGGATCTCGCCGCAGTTAAAGTTCCAAGGTACTGTTTATCTGCTAACATGCAGTCGTTGCAAATACATGGATTTTGTGATTCATCGATTCGTGCTTATGGCTGCGGAATATATATACGCATCGTAGACAATACTGGTAATGTTCGCGTTCGCCTTCTCACGGCAAAATCGCGTGTGGCCCCAACCAAACGACAGTCGCTACCAAAGCTGGAGCTTTGCGGTGCACTACTACTTGCCCGACTCTTTACAAAAATTACACCCATGTTTTCTAATTATAATTTCGATACCTTTCTTTGGACAGATTCGCAAATCGTCCTTCACTGGCTCCAACTGCATTCGGTTACGCTGTCAGCTTTCGCTGGCAACAGAGTGTCGGAAATACAGGATTCGACTAGGGACGCTCATTGGAGACATGTACCGACGAAATGCAATCCAGCCGATATTGTGTCCAGAGGAAGCACAGCGCTTGAACTTGGTGGCTCGATTTGGCTAACTGGTCCAGCGTTTTTGTACGAAAATATAAACAACTGGCCTAACCAATCAAATGACGCGGTGGATATGGACGTAGTAAATTCGGAAAAGCGAAAATCAGTATTTAAGGTTACTTTAACTAATAACTACCTTCTCGAAATCCTTGACAGGTGCAGTTCTCACACTCGTGAAGTCCGGATTGTTGCAAGGATGCTCCGTTTTTGCGCAAGGCTCAAGAAAGCTAATACAGAAATCGTAAAAGGGCCTCTCACTGCTGATGAACTATACCGCGCTTTGTTATGCATTGTATGGAACGTGCAACAACAATATTTTGCTGGAGGTATTCGTCTTTTGCAGAAAGAGTCAACAACAAATGGCATGCTACGTAATCTAAACCCTTTCTTGGAGTCTACTCATGACTTTGAACTGTTGAAAGTTGGCGGACGACTTGAATTGGCAGATCTTCCAGAAAGCAGAAAGCACCCTATTTTATTACCTAGCAAATGTGAATTCGTCACGCGATATGTTCGACATCTACACATCAAAAACTATCACGCCGGCCCGAAGGCGCTGGTGGGTTTAATTCGTCTTCAGTTTTGGGTAATTAATGCACGCGATATTGCTAGACGCATCGTCAGATCATGTATACATTGCATTCGATACAAGCCAAAACTACTCCAACACATGATGGGCAATCTGCCTGTTGAACGCTTGACACCATCGCGCCCGTTCGCCCGCTGCGGCATCGATTTTTGCGGACCGATTAGCGTTTACCTTCGCATTAGGGGCAAGGCTCCCTATAAAGCCTACATCGCCATCTTCGTGTGCTTTGCTACAAAGGCAGTACACATCGAAGTCGTCTCTGACTTAACCACGGATGCATTTTTAGCTTCGCTAAAGCGAATGATTGGAAGGAGAGGCCTTCCAACAGACATCTTCTGCGACAATGCAACTAACTTTGTCGGCGCGTGCAGCAAACTTGCGGAATTGAAAGCGTTCCTTTTCAAGAAAGAGAACCAAAATGTCATCACCAATTATTGTACTAATGAATTTGTGAATTTTCATTTTATTCCCCCCAGAGCACCTCATTTCGGCGGCATTTGGGAAGCCGCAGTTAAATCAGCCAAGGGTCATCTAAACCGCAGCATCATGAACGCCAGACTTACGTATGAGGAGCTGACGACAGTACTAGTGGAAATAGAAGCTGTTCTTAATTCGCGGCCTATCTCTCCACTCTCATCTGACCCCAGCGATTACGAGGCGTTGACTCCAGGGCATTTCATAACCGGCAGTGCGTTAAAATCTCTACCGGAGCGAGCAGTAGCAAACAACATCAACCTCGTCGACAAATGGACTCAAATCATCGCCATCAAGCAAGTCTTTTGGAAACAATGGTCCCACGAATACATAAGCGAACTTCAAGCGCGAACAAAGTGGACCACTGACCATGCAAACATTGCAAAGGACGCTATGGTTCTCATCCATGAGGACAATGTGCCGCCACAGCGATGGCAAATTGGACGTGTTACAGAGGCCATACCTGGAAAAGATGCTCGAGTTAGAGTGGTCGACATATGCACCTCGAAGGGAATCATTCGCCGCCCTATCCACAAAATTGCAGTTTTACCAATTTGAAAGTCCTTTCAACGGGGCCGGGATGTTGGGTCACCTAACGACACACCCTGCAAGTTGGCGTAGGTCAAGAACATCTAAATACTTATTTACTTCATATTCAATTATGTACTCGTTTAACTGTCGCATTTTATATTTGTAATATAAGAGCATGCACTCAATTGTACAAACAGACATATATGTATAAACTAAAACCTAACTTTGATGCTTCCACATAACTAATTTGTATATACACACGCATGTATGCTTACATATGTACATATGCTAATATAACAGCGAGATTTTGTCATTTTGCTGTATCACTCTTTCGTATGTGCATACATATCAACATACATACATACATTCACTACCTAATATAACTTGAATTATTACACTGAATTGCTTTTTTGAGAACATTAAATAAATCAGTCTACTGTTGACCACCAAGACGCCGTGTTTACCCTCGCAATATTTTCAGTTGGTTGTAGTTGATATCGGTTTAATTGCACAGCCCAATTTTCGAAGTTAGATTCGTTTCGCTAACGTTTAGTTTGGATCGCGGGTTGGAAAAAACCTTCCTCACCCTACAATAACAATATCCATAAACATATAGGAAAATACGATTGCAAAATCGATTAATTCATCGATAAATATAACAATCATCAGTATCAGTATCATAACAATATATGTAAATGACTAAATCGATAACAAAATCAATTATTTAATAGATTTTATACCGATAACAATATCCAGTATTGTATCGATAACAATATCGATTATTATATTGATTATTATATCGATTACAATAGCGGTTATTTAATCAATAACAGTATCGATAACAATATCGATTATTTTATCGATAGCAATATCGATTATTATATCGATAAATATATCGAGTTTTATATCGATAACAATATCGATCTTCATCCTCATCCTTTTCTTCATATGTATCTTTATTTCTGCATATTCCTCTTCACCTTTACCTTAAAGTGTTTAAATTTACCTTGATCTTCGTTTTTGCCTGTAACTCTAGGCATCTTTGTTTTGTTTTTATTCTCAAACCGCTAAACCACTGAGAAGCATTTCCATGTGCATTATTCCCCTGGAATTTGGCAATTTACTCCCAACCAACCAACTGCCTAAAGAAGTTTCACTTCATAAATTCAAGAAATGTTCTTACCCTTTTAGTTACCCTAATTCTTATGTATCTGTCATTGCCTTCATTTTCGTCCTTATCTTCACTTTTGCCTTCTTTCTTTTTGACTTCATCGTTATCATTTATTTCTTCATCTTCATATTTATCTTTATTTCAAAGCTTAATTTCAAATGTGTAGTGAAANTGTTGCAGCAACATCTATACACAAATTGGAAATGTTTAAACGACGGTTTAGGCCGTAATTTTCAACCAATTTTGAAACCATAAAAACTCTGCTCATCTAGAGAAAAAAGCCTTTCCAATGGTGTTCTTGGTTTGGAAATCGGTTCGGTAGAATCTCCAAACGAACGGAGACAAAATTCATGTTAGCGTATTAATATATAGATACTTACATCCTTTGCGAAGCGCCCCTTTTCTCCCCTTTCTCTCAAAAATTTGTTGACTTCTTTACGCGACAGACTTCAAGGCCTAAGCAATCAATAGCACCATTTGGGCACCTGCCATACAAGCCACTTCTTCCAACATGCTAGCGGTTGTGCCGGAAGCTCGCAAAACTTCCCAAATACTGCTAAATGTAGTTAAACCTGTTAAAAAGAATATAATTAGTAATATTATTATGTTTAAACACATCATTCTTACCAAAATTTGGAAATTGCTTCTGGGGTGATGCACCTACTCTTCTGGATGCTAGTGGTTGTGCCGGAAGCTCGCAAAACTCCCCAAATGCTGCTAAATGTAGTTAAACCTGTTAAAAAGAATACAATAAGTAATATTATTATGTTTAAACACATCATTCTTACCAAAATTTGGAAATTGCTTCTGGGGTGATGCACCTACTCTTCTGGATGCTAGTGGTTGTGCCGGAAGCCCGCAAAACTCCCCAAATGCTGCTAAATGTAGTTAAACCTGCTAAAAAGAAT